GTTTATTTTTTCTGTTATTTTTAATTATTACTATGATATTATTATTTGTTCATTATTGTGTTTAACTTTAATTTACTTAAATTTATCTAAAAAGGGAGTTAAAGTGCTTTATAGATTTGGTAATTTAATAGTTGGTTAATGTTATTTAGATTATGATTATTATTTGTTAACCCTGTGAATAGCTCTGGGAAGTGGGGGGAGGGAGGGTTTGGGGGTGGGAGGGGGATAATATTGTAATCTTTATAAATCTTTTAATAAAAAATAATAATAATAATTTTCTCAAAGATTCTGGGGAATTCCAAATAGCATCCTAAACTGTTGGTATTCCCTTATATATCCCAAATCTTTCCTAAGCCAACAGCAGAAATCATAGTTGGGATTGCAGTAGGTGAGTGGTGAAACTGGGATAGTATTGACTCTGGACTAGAACTACTGCAGAGATGGATTCCTTATTTACCAGTTTCATGCTGTTTCCATCTGTACAGAGAAGGAAAAACTGTTTGACAGCTTCTGAATTTACTGGTCTACCACCCTCTGCCTTTTCCATTCCAGGTTACTTCTTCCTTCCAATGTTTACTTTGCTTTCCCAGATGTTTCCACAAGCATATATTTTAATCTCTAGTTCCACGTTATCATCTCCCCCGTCCCCAGATGGCCCGACCCAGGTCTGATGTTACAATAATCAAGGTGATAGGAAACAGGTATCATCCAGAGGGAAAAGTCCAATATGCTAGATCTCTGTGGAGATTCTCAGTTATCCAGGTCATGGTTGTCCCAAAGGTGCTTTTTTAAGAGGCAACTGGACTTTCTTTGTTTTTCTTTGAAGACATTTCACTTCTTATCTAAGAAGATTCTCCAGTTCTGCTAGGAAAACTAGAAAGCAAACTGGTCATAAATTAATATGAGTTTCATGAAAATTTAAAGAAGTGGGGAGGATGGGGGACAAATAAAGCAAATCATATTCTTTTCTTCATTTCCCTTCTTTTCTATCTATTCAGACTGTATTTTTTTCTCAGTTAATATTCAGGGAAATACTAATACTAATAATAATACTAATAATAATAATAATACTAATAATACTAATAATAATAATAATAATAATAATAATAATAATAATAATAATAATAATAATAATAATAATAATAATAATAAAGTTGGGAGGGATCTTGGAGGTCATCTAGTCCAACCCCCTGCTCAGGCAGGAAAACCTATACCATTTCGGACAAATGGCTGTCCAGTCTCTTCTTAAAAACTTCCAGTGTTGGAGCATTCACCGCTTCTGGAGGCAGGTTGTTCCACTGATTAATTGTTCTAACTGTCAGGAAGTTTATCCTTAGTTCTAGGTTGCTTCTCTCCTTGATTAGTTTCCATCCGTTGCTTCTTGTCCTGCCTTCAGGCACTTTGGAAAATAGCTTGACTCCCTCTTCTTTGTGGCAGCCCCTGAGATATTGGAACACTGCTATCATGTCCCCCCTCGTCCTTCTCTTCATTAAACTAGACATACCCAATTCCAGCAGCCGTTCCTTATATGCTTTAGCCTCCAGTCCCCTAATCAGTTTTGTTGCTCTTCTCTGTACTCTTTCTAGAGTCTCAACATCTTTTTTATAATATAAAGATGTAGTAATATCTTTGTTGAAGTGAAAGTTTAGCATGACTGTTTTTAAGAAGTGGACTGGTAAAAACCAATATGGTTAGTCAAACAATAGATCAAGGTGGGCATTTAGAGGACATGAGTTTTTTAAAAAAATATTTCAAATTTGAAATGCCCCCCCCCCAAGTTTTCATTATTATTATTATTTTTTAAGATTGGAGGGGAAAAGTAAAGTAAGAAGAAGAATATGTTTAGAATTTACCTACAGAGAAATAGTTCTGTATCTTGCAATTGCACATTGCCTTTAAATCCTAAAAAATATATTATTAGCATAAGTTACTCTGAATAACTTTCTATGAATGAAATGTGTAATAACATTCTGTATGGACTGTGATGCAAAGTGTTCAATAAACTGGAAACACCTGCTGCATTAAAATAAAAAGTCCAATTCCAATCCCAAGCAGAAATCAGTATTCTTTCAGTATTGTTCTACACATTATAGAATTGTTTCATGAAAGACTTACTTTATTTGCAGTCTGATCACAAAATTCTACCAGCATGTCCTTTCCTTGGCCTTTGCTGTCAAGAAGATCAATGAGAACCCACAAATCTTGCCCAATGTTACCCTTGGATTTCACATCTATGACAGCTACAACAATCCAAAGATGACCTATCGGACCACGCTGGACTTACTTTTCAAATCAGATAGATTCCTGCCCAACTACAAATGTGGACTTCAAAAAAATCTCCTGGCCATCATTGGAGGACTTGGATCAGATACTTCATCCGATATGGCAGAAATTATAAATTTGTACAAAATTCCACAGGTGGGTCCAGGGGGAGAAGGGATTTATCTTGTTCCTCTTAATTGATTAATCAATTCATTAACTATGCCTAAGAGTATGCTTAAGTCTTCATTCTCATGAATCTCACTTAAGACTTAACAAGTGAGTCAAAATCAAGATTAGATTCCTTGGTAAATGCTGATGATATTTTAACACATTTGTTAAAGAAAAAAAAATCAATGCCCAAGAATTTAACTATATTCTCAAAAAATTGAGAAATTATAGATCAAGTGTAAATTCCAACCAGTCTAACCAATTTCTGAAGTGATCCATAAAAATGCATAACCAAAACAGAAACCTCTCTTTGACTTCTCTGTACCATGTTTTGATGTTTTGTTTTAGCTCACGTATGGATCATTTCCCCCAGAAGAAATTTATAGCTGTCAATCATCTTCACTTTACTTTATGGCTCCAAATGAAGTTCCTCAATATTTCGGGATTGTTCAATTGCTTCAACATTTTGGGTGGAAATGGATTGGGCTCTTTGCTGCTGACACAGAGAGTGGAGAACATTTTTTGCAGAAATTGGATCCCTTGTTCTCTGAGCAGGGAATCTGCTTAGCTTTCACACAAAGATTTCCCAAATTATTACGTTTGGATGACTTGGGCATGTTTAGTGAAATAATGATTAATTTTTATACACATTTTGCAGATGTTAAAGCAAATGCATATATCATTTATGGAGAATCTTTGACATTAATGTGGTTTACAGCTTTCATATTTCTCTGGGATCCTGAGACTAAGGACAATATATCTTTAAGTAAGGTGTGGATTACTACAAGCCAAATTGATTTCATGCTCACAGGAGCCCAAAAAGATTGGAATCTCCAAGGTTTCGATGGGGCCATTTCCTTTCAAATCCATTCAAGTGAAAATCTAGAATTTGAGGAATTTCTTCAGTCCATAAAATCATATTCAAGGCACAGAGATGGATTTCGAAAACATTTTTGGGAGCAAGCGTTTGATTGTTTCTTTCCTAATTCTGAATTGTCTTCAATGGGAAGTAAAAAATGCACTGGTGAAGAAAACCTGGACAGTCTTTCTGCACCTCTCTTTGAAATGCAAATGACTGGTCATAGTTATAGTATCTATAATGGAGTTTATGCAGTGGCTCATTCTCTGCATGGACTATTATCAAAGAGCTCCAATGAGAAAAAAATCTTCACAGGTAAAAGAGTTGAATCTCTGGAACTTCAGCCTTTTAAGGTAACATTTTCCCAGCAAATAGGTTTTCCTTTCACTTGGAAAGAAAATTTGTATTTCAGATAAATGAGATTGCTTAAACCAACATAATACATAATGAATACTGCCTCCAGTTTTGGTCACCATATTAAAAAAAAAAGATGTAAAAAGAGTCCAGAAAAGAGCAACAAATATGATTAGGGTACTGGAGGCTAAAACATATGAAGAACATATGCAGGAATTTTGTTTGTCTCGTCTAATGAAAAGAAGGACCAGAGGTGACATGATAGCAGTGTTCCAATATTTGAGGGGCTGCCACAAAGAAGAGGGAATCAAAGAAGGCAGGACAAGAAGCAATGGATGGAAACTAATCAACGGGAGAAGCAACCTAAAACTAAGGAGAAATTTCCTAGCAGTGAGAATAATTAATCAGTGGAACAGCTTGCCTTCAGAAGTTGTGGATGTTCCATCACAAGAGGTTTTTAAGAAGAGACTGGACAGCCACTTGTCTGGAATGGTATAGGGTCTCCTGCTTTGTAGGGGGTTAATCTTGGAGCTAAGTCTTGCCAATTTATTGTAAATCTTGTTGGAATATATAGTGGTGGCCAAAATTGTGGAAATCTTTTGGGAAAAGTGTACAGTAGAAATGCCACCTTTGGTTAAATTTCCACCAATTTTTCTTCTAATTTATTTATAACTGTAGCCTTGTTCACTTAATAATACTATTTTACATCACTTTCTGGGCAACCAGTCAACTCTTTGCACCATTACTTTAATTGTATTACTTTTTTACAAGCTCACTAAATGATAGAACACAAAAAAACCCAACCTTGATAGCGATCACATAACACACTGACAAATGTCCTCCTCTCAGCTTCAATACATGACATCAATAACTGAATCCTACTGTGAACTGATTGGCTCATTGCCAAAACAAGATGACACCTGATTGGCTCTCTAAACACTCATGCTCATTGGCTACAATCAGATGAAGGAAAGCTACCTGATATCAACCTAAGCAAATTGTGCTTCCTTTTTCTGTTTATTTGGCTATAATGTTTCATAGAATATAGTACAGATAATTGAACAAACTTTGTTGCATTACATTCTTGATTAAATTATCTTTCCATTGTTATATAATTTTATGGTACTACTCCAAAAAAAGTGGTGTTATTAGCCATCAAACCTCAAAAATACACTTTTCCCAAAATTTTCACAATTTTCACAATTTTGGCCACTACTGTACCATGGCAACCCTTAAATTGCCACTTCCTTGTAATTTTTATATTTTTTTAATTAAGACAATTTTTCTTTTTGCTGACAGCAGATAAGCAGAAAGGCAGTAATTTGGGATCTGTCATTTCTAAGTAAATAGGCTTACATAATTTTCCCCTTTTGTAAAATGCATAGACATCACAAAATTGAATCACATAATTCTGTATGTTATTTACTGACAATACTTTGTGGGTTCATCTCTTGCTCTATTGAGCAAAATTAAACACATTAAGCGTTTCACAATATATATATTTTGTTTTGTATTGGCATTTTGTCCAATCAAACTCCGAAAATCATTTCAGAAACATTTAATGTCAAACATGTTGATTTCTCTCATTATTGTTATTTTAACTTCCTTGCTTTCTTCTTCTTCTTTATCAAGTAGCTCCATCCATTTTTTCAAGGCATTTCTTTCAACAACTCAGCAGGAAGGATGGTGTTCTTTAGTGAGAAGAGGAAAGTTGCAGGAGAATTTGACATCATCAATATAATTGTGTTTCCAAACAACTCCATCCGGAGGGTGAAAGTTGGAAGACTAGATCCTGATGCATGTTATGGAAATAAATTGATCATTAATGGAAATTTAATTAAGTGGAACAAAGGCTTTAATCAGGTATGAAACTGCATATATGAAAAATGTTTACATGGTTCTACCTTCCTTAAAAGTTTTTTTATTAACTGATCTCTGATGGCTATGATTCTCTTTATAGAATCACTAGTTGACTCTGTTTGATGAAAAAGCTGAACAACCTGGCAATTACCTGTGCTACATTTTTCATGTTATAAGCAGGTTGTTCCACTTTCTCTGTGTAATGAATACTGTCACCCTGGATATTGGAAGAGAAAATCTGAAGAGAAAAGTTTTTGCTGCTACGACTGTGTTTCATGCCCACAGGGGAAGATTTCAATCAAGATAGGTCAGTTATGAACTTCTACAAAAATATGAGAACACTGGGCAGCAAAATAATTGTTTCATCAAATGTTACAATTTGTTCTGGTGCACATATTTATTTCTTGTTAAAATTGAAGTTTTCTAGCCTAAAAAAAACAAGGAACATATGACCCATATGAATATGTTATTACTAATTTCAACTATTAATAATTTTCCAAATTCTGAAATAATAAATCTTGCAGAAGCCTTTAATGTACATGAAATCTTTTTTGTTATAGCATTTGTGCCCCAGATATAAGATTACAAACTGGAATACAAATATGAATAATTTGTTTAGGGTCCTGCAAATCTCATCTGTAGACCAGGCATATGTGGACATACACATACATTTTATATGGTGGTCATCCAAAGCACTGCATGACAATATAACACATACCAAAGAGGAGAAAATTGAAAATTCATTCTTGTAAAATTGAATGGAAAAAAATCCATATTTAACATGATGGTAACTATCGTTTCAGAACACTTGAACCAAATTTCATAAAAGTACAAATTGAGGTATAAGAAGAAAAAAGAAAAGAAATAAATGGATATTTTTAATTTTTGTTTGAGATTCAGGGTTGTCATTTGGTAGCTATGTGTGCTTAGTCCACAGAAGACCTGGGGAAATGTTGTATAGTAGAAATGCAGAGCACTATCTGAAAATACAATTAAGTCCATTTAGAAAAGCATTGGAACTGCTGGAATATTTCCTGTAAAATGTAAAAAACCCCCCCCAGCAATAATCAGTATCATGTATAGATCATAGTCTATTGAATGGAATAACAATTGGAATATAGGTATACAGGTAACTAATCAAAGATGAACATCAACTATCAAACAATAACAGAAAATGTTTATTAAAAGTGGTAAATTGAAATAAATGAGCTTCCTTTTGATCTTTTTATCCAGATACAGAAGATTGTTCCAGATGTCTTGAGGATCAGTATCCAAGCAAGGATCAAGATCGATGCCTTAACAAAACAATGAGTTTCCTTTCCCTTAAAGAACCTTTAGGGATCAGTCTGGCCTCAGCTGCTGTTTCCTTCTCCCTCATGACAACCAGTGTGCTTGGAATTTTCCTTAAGCGTAGAGATACTCCAATTGTCAAGGCCAACAACCGGGATCTCACTTACACTCTCCTTATTGCCCTTTTACTATGCTTTTTATCTTCCTTGTTATTCCTTGGTCAACCAGGAAAAGTAACCTGCCTTCTACGTCAACCAGCATTTGGCATCATCTTCTCAGCTGCTGTTTCTTGTGTATTAGCTAAAACTATTACTGTGGTTGTAGCTTTCATGGCTACTAAGCCAGGTTCCTCAGTGAGAAAATGGATGGGGAAAAGATTGGCCCTTTCCATTGTCCTTTCTTGTTCTCTTATTCAAGCAGGTCTTGGCATCTTGTGGTTGGCAACCTCTCCTCCATTCCCTGAGTTAGACACGCACTCCCTTATAAAAACCATAATTTTGCAATGCAATGAAGGCTCCGTCTTCATGTTCTATTGTGTTCTGGGCTACCTGAGCTTCTTAGCTATTGTCAGCTTCATTGTGGCTTTCCTTGCCCGTAATTTACCTGACAGCTTTAATGAAGCCAAATTCATCACTTTCAGCATGTTGATCTTCTGCAGTGTATGGATCTCCTTTATTCCAACTTATCAGAGCACCAAAGGAAAAGCCATGGTGGCTGTAGAGATCTTCTCCATTTTGTCCTCCAGTGCTGGATTATTGGGATGTATCTTTTTCCCAAAATGCTTCATCATAGTGTTGAGGCCAGAACTAAATAGCAGGCACCAACTAATCAAATGAAATAATTAAATTATATCTACATTATTTTTATGGACAGGGGAAGGATATTAGCACAACAAATTAAAGACTGGCCCTTTATAATATTCCTTTCTATCCTCCATTCCAAACTAACATTTGAACTTTGTGGATGTTATTTCTCCATTTCCTTCAGTTATTGAAGTAGTAATTCTACAATGCAGCGTTCATCACTTTCCATGTTTTATACTTGTTCCATATAGGTCTTATGGCTTTCAGAAGCTTCATCATGGATTTATTTGCCTCTAAACTACCTGGTAGCTTCAATTAAGCCAAGTTCATTGCTTTTACCATGTTAGTCTTTTGCAGGGAGTGGGTCTCTTTTGTACCAACCTATCTGAGCATCAAAGGAAAATCCATGGTGGCTGTGGAGATCTTTTCCATTCTGGATCTCCAGTGCTGCTTTATTTGGATGTATCTTTTCCCCTTAAATACTTCCTGATTGTACTGAGACCTAAGCTAAACAGCAGGCAGCAATCAATAAAATTTAATGATTAAATAATGCATTTTTCTCAGTTTATTGTCAAGTGCTTACATTATATGTTAACCACTAAGAGAAATTGTGTCTTCAATTCAGGTGATTTTACCATGAAATATATGTGTATATTTGTCATATGCTTTCTGAGACATGTTTTTTTCTGAAACATAAATGCTATATTATTGCTATACTATTTCTATTCTCTCGAATTTTAATGCAAATTAAATAAAAGGAAATACATTTTTTTCTTTATTATTGCCTGATTTTTTTTAGTCTCTTTTAATATCTAATGTTAAGGATAAATACCATTTAGACATAGACTTTGTGTTGGTCACTCTCCTTTGGTTTCAAATAAGTCACACAGTTATTGTTGAAGAAAAAAAGAAGTACTTGGAAATTAAGCAGGCTATAAAACAAACAGATGAATGTGTGAATGATATGATAGAGTAAGAAAGATCTGCAATTTTGAATTAGAAACTACTGGTAGTTAAGAGAAGAGTAATGGAGATTAAAAAAAACAAAGAAATTGTTTAAGTGATTTGGTAGATCATTTCTTAGGCTATTTCTTTAGACCTCCTGAAAATAAGGAGGGGCTTCAGCTAAAAAAAAGTAATTGAATAGTTGAAGGGACACTTCAAGTCAAAATCTTTAAATCTTTATATTAGAACTTAGAAATTCATAAACAGTTAATGTGTTACAGGTTTCATGTCAACCAACTATATCAGATTCTTTCCAACAGTGCAATCATATGATTTATTATATGTTTAAAATAAAACAATATAATAATGCATAACTCATTATTTCCAAATGGTTCAGGCATTGTCTAACAAAACTATCTTAAATGTCTAGTGTTGCAAATTAAATCATTCTGTTTATCTTCCATTCAGAATAGGAACATTTTCTGCTCTTTTCTTACCCTAAGAAATATGTTGATATGAAATTGGGCTTGGTTCCCATACTTCTTTCTGGAAGGGAACCCAAGAAACATTTCTTTTTCTATTAATTTTTTAAAAGTTATATTTAACATTAGTTTTAATCCATAGAAGTTCTCCCTCCCTCCCTCCCTCCCCCCCTCTCTCTCTCCCAAACCAGACTGGGTACAGAAGGCCACATCCCCTAGATGGGTTTTGGGTGTGACATCAGTGGAGACTTCAGGGAAAGCTGTGACAGTCATCATCTAGACATCTCTTAAGATATACAGGGTCACTTCACAATATATTAGTGAATGTGAGACCCTATTCAGTAAATTGGGCTCTAGAGATCAGTTGGCATTGTTGCTACTGCCAGGCCCAATTCTGCATCCCTTTCCATGAAGCTTTAATAATCCAGGAGGGGAATGGATCCAGTAAACTAGCAGCTGAGAGGGCCTTGTCCACTTCCTCAGGTTCCATGGGCTCAAACTCTTCCCAGGTCACTTTGCAAACCCCCACACCTCACAGATCTTGCTTTAAACTTGGAGTCCAACATAGATCCAATTTGAGTGATCTTGTCCAGCAGATGTACAATGATTCTTTAGGTATTACTCTTTCCAAGAAGGGAATGAGTCAACTGAAACATGTATTACTTAGACCACGCTGGGGCCAGAAGAATGGATGGAACTTTAGGAGATATGGCCAGCTTAGCTTCAGATGTAATATCAGTGGAGAACCTAGGGCAGAGATAGCAGTATAATGATCACTATAGAAAAGTTTCTAAAGACTTCAAGGGTGCTGCATCACAGATTATTGAATGTGTGATCTGTTCAATAAGTTGGGCTCAAGGGATCAGTTGGCACTGTTGCTGCTGCACCAGCCTCCCTCATATGTAGCAACCTCCCTACCTAAACTTTCTTTGATTCCAATTTTGAGTTGACAGTGGTGTTCCTCAGATTCATGGTCTTGGGGGATCTTAACCTGCCTTCCCTAGAAAAGTAATCTGAGATGGCACAGGAGCACAGGCTGCCATGGCAGCCATGGGCTTATCCCAGATCATTCAGAGTCTGATATGGGACAGTAGCAACATACTTGATATGGTGTTTCTATTGGAGCAGTGGCAATGTGATCTAAAATTGTAGCGGGGGGGGTGTTTGGTATTTCCCTTGTCATGGTCATATCATGTCCTGATTACTATTAGATTCTTTGGCAACACTATCAACTGCAGGGAGGCAAATAGATCAATCTGCCCATTGTTGACTAATGCACCCAGAAGGGTATCATAAAAGCTATGGACTGTTCATGATCCATATGAACCATGGGTCAATGCTTGCAATAAGGGGCATGCTAAGGCTGTGGATTGGATCATGCCTATGTAATCTTTCACATCATGAATATCTTTTTCCCTGAGCATCATGGAAGAATTGAAGGAGAGGAACTATGACAACAGACATCCAGAGTGTGGCTGGTAGAAAACAAGGAACAAACTCAACCGAACACATGTTAGATCATCCTTCCAATAATTATTCAGAATATACCTTTAATAAAAATAATTGGTTTATTATAAAATAAATTTATTTATTGAATTTCCATTATATTACATTATCTTATATTACTTCTATGACAATATGGTAGATGCCCCTAAATTTTCACTTTTAGAAAATAAAGTTTTGAATGGAGAGTAGATATTCACCTTCACATTATATTTATATTTACACTGGGTAGTTAAGGAAATGTAATTGTGTCTTCACAGCAAATATAAGGGGACAGTTGGAAAATTATCAATGATTGACTGTAAAATAGTTTCTCTCTGAGTCTCAAAAATCACTAGTCTTCCCACAGTAAATCTGTGAGATATCCTAGAATATCATTGGGGACAAGCTTAAATATAATCTTGATGAAACTTACTCTTACCAACTTAAAAACATAATCAAAGAAAAAAAGTTAACCATGCCTTGTTATCAGTTGATCTCTATTGTTTAAATCAGGTCTAAATACAATAATGTAACATTTGGGGAAAAAGATGCATCCTAGAAGCCCGGCACTAGAGGACAAAATGGAGAATATCTCCACAGCCACCATAGCTTTTCCTCTGGTGCTCAGATAGGTTGGAACAAAGGAGACCCACACACTGCAGAAAGCCAACATGCTGAAGGTGATGAACTTGGCTTCATTAAAACTGTCAGGCAGTTTACGAGCCTGGAAAGCCACAATGAAGCTGGCAAGCGAAAGGAGAGCCATATAACTCAGGACACAATAAAACATAACAACTGATCCCTCGTTGCATTGTAGAACCATTTCTTCAGTGATTGAGTGCACATCTAACTCTGGGAATGGGGGAGCAGTTGACAACCACACAATACAGATGCTTGCTTGGAATAGAGAGCAGAAAAGGACAATAGAAACAGCCAGTCTTTTCCCCACCCATGTCCTCATCCGAGATCCTGGTTTGGTAGCCTTGAAGGCAAGAGAAACAAGGATCGTTTTGGCCAACACACAAGAAATGGACAATGAGAAAATGAGACCAAATGCTGACTGTCTGAGGAGACAGGTGACTCTCCCAGGTTGTCCAATAAAGAGAAAAGAGCAGAGGAAGCAGAACAGAAGGGAGATGAGGAGAGTGTAAGTGAGATCCCGGTTGTTGGCTTTCACAATAGGACTGTCTTTGTGCTTAATAAAAGTTCCCAGCACCCATGTTGTAATGAGGGAGAAAACTATAGCAAGACAAGCTAAACTATACCCTAAAGGTTCTTCATAAGACAGAAAGTTTATGCTTTTCAAGAGACATCCATTTCTTTCTTGGTTTGCGTATTGATCTTCTGGACATTGGAAGTAAGCTACCATATCTGAAATTGGAAAAAAAAAAATTCCACCCATATTGTAATGAGTAAATGCAGAGTAGCCAATAGTAACATGAGAGGGGGAGGAGCCAAGATGGTTGACAGGCAGCAAAGGCTGTAAGAGCTCCTCCAAAAGTAAAAGTTTTTATTTTATTTTTATTTATTTTAACTTTTTAACCCTTTTTAACCTTGCATTTTAACCTACTTTTAACCCATTTTAACCTATTTTTAAACCTGTTTTAACCCATTTGACTTTTTATAAAAGTCAAAGACTTTTTATAAAAGTATATATACTAGAGAGGCTACCATTTTTTTAACCTACATTTTAACAATTCTACAAGCCAGAATTATCAAGAATGGGGAAAAGGAGAAATAGACAGCATGCACACTCAGCAGTGCATAGTTCTTCCAAGCCACTGAAGCAGCAGAAAATGGAAGATTACACTGAAAGTAGACAGTCTGCTCCAATAAATAATTCATCTACAGTCTCCTCACCAGATAGATCTAATTTGTGTGATTCATTGGAATGGGATTTTCAAACCAAGCCTGACAGCAAACAGCATATAGAACTTCCTGCCTCTCTCACAGAAAATATCTCCCCTCCTTGGAACTTAGCAGCCTGCTCCACAACCATTTTCTTTGCTCAGGATGGGAATGTAGCAAATTCAAAAAGGGAGAATGCGACAGACTTCCTTTCCAGACAATGTTTGCTTACAGCTCAAACTGTAAAGTCAATCTATGAATTTTTATCAACTGTTATAAATAAGGAAGAGTCTTTTGCAAAGTTTATTAAGAGTTACCCAAATACTGCAGAAGGATCCAGGAGGACACCTACTGATAGACATGGGGTGACTAACTCAGAAATTGAAACTAGAGCAGGCCCTTCTCTCCCACCCACCCACCCACCCACCCCCCAAAATGGGAGGAAAGAATATCTACAAAGAAAACAACACTCAATCAGATAGTCCAAGAGGTGACCGACATAACTTCCATTTGCAGACTAACCAGGTTACCTTGCAAATTTATGACAACAGAATGAATAGAGGGCATTGGAGTGATAGAAAAGCTGTCAAGCTGTCTCTGAACCATCTGCTCTGCTGTGAATACACTCTAATAGACTTACTACATGCAGAATGGTTGCCAGCCAGAAGGCAATGTATGTGAATTTTTCTATCTTTCAAGCAGCCCACAATTCCCTCTATGCTTTTTAAAATGAAGCCCTTCTTGAGTAGTTTTTCAATCTTTCCAATACATGTCTTCTGCTCAGAGAAAGGGTGCCCACTCCTGGATCAGCCTCTCCAAATGGAACTATTGATTTAAATCCAAACTGCAACAGACCTCATACTGATAAGCTTGAGGCAGGCACAGCTGAATCGACCTTGAGAAAGCAAAGGAGTGATCTACAAACAGTGTTATCCACAGCTACAGAATCTGCTGAGGACATGCCAGAAGAAATGCCAGTTGACTTATTCATTGCATTGCCAGAACCTGAGCAAGCTAACATTATTCAGAGACTGGATGATCTAAAAGAGGCACTGACAACAACCCAATTCACAACAAAGCCTCTATTTAAAATTGGCTTCACCAAATGCTCAAACTTGTGACAATATAGTTACCCAACAATCTACTATTTCCTCAATAGCAAAAAAAAAAGTATTGTCACGCAGGCTGACAGTGGAATAACCACACTGACTTACTCAGTTCCTAATAAACAGCAGAAAGACAAACTGTCCCATTGTACAGTGCTCTTTAAGAGTGCAGATTCTAAGAATACAACCCATCTACCACCTTCACTAGAGTCAAAAGTGCCTTTAACATCTCCTCACAAGATGATCCCCAACTGTATCTCTCCAAAAATTGACATACATTTACATGGGTGATAGTTGGGGATTCTGCTGAGATAATCGCTAAAGGTGAAGACTCTCTGACGCAGCTATCAGACGGCGACCAAAGGCAGAGACAGAGGCATGCCTCAGTGCCCCACACAAATGGTGGGGTTACCCTTGCTGTTGTGGATGATGTCTCCATAGTCTCACAAAACTTGCCTAATTCCTGGTTAAACGCATCTAATAACCAACAATATTTAGTTTTCGGTGACAATGTCACCCATCATAATTATCTTCCAACAAGTGCCCCTACTGAGAACACGGACTGACTATATGAACGCCACACTGTTCTGATATTATTTTGTTTCTTTGTTGTATTCCCCATTTCCTCTGATTTCACTGGTTTATTCCCATATATAAAAATATCTGATTGTGTACTTGTTTCTTCTGATATAGGCCATATCCATTATGATTTAAGGTAGATACTTCTGGACTTTTGACACAAAGTTTAAAAACCTCAACCCCTGAATTTTACATAAAGCTTCCTGGATGAAGAAATTAGAATAGAAAAAAAACTTCCCAATAAACAATATTTAGGCCATGTCAGGATTTTTAGTTGACTAGCCTATCATGCTTACTTTTATCTGGGACTTCTAGAAAATTATACTCTAGTGAAATTTAACATTATCCCCTTTTCCACGTCATAATGACAGGACCAAATTAGATCTGAACCAGAATGCTTTTAATAGGTGATATTTTCTGAATCTACTTGAGGTTCTCCTCATTGTCTCATAGATTTATCCTGCTTAGAAGCCCATGGACCTTTAAATTACTAAATGTCCTTATCCCCAATTGAAGCAAGAGAATTAAAAAAAAAACAGAGTTTGCAGGGAATTGGAGGCAACATGTTTTATATATTAGCTGTTAGGAAGCAACAATGAAAAAGGTTGGCATTTTCCTGGTCATATATGTAAGCTTCTAGAATGTATTTTTTTGGCCATTCTATGAACATCAAATACTAGATTAGTTTAACCAATCGCAACCTGATTTAACAGGTCGCTTCTTATGAATTCTCTTTCCTTGCCATTAATTTTCATTTCTCTTCTTCTTTGTCAGTTATGACTGTATGTGCATAACCTTACAAAAAAGCAAATTGGCATAATGTCATATGTGCATTAACAGATAAATTGCATGCCTTAGCCATAAAGGTATGTCATATACAGCCTTGTTAACAGAAGGACTCCATGAATTAGGCTACTAAACTGTTAATTGTACTTTTGGATTCTGCTTGGTTAAGTTACTTTTGTACTGGTCTTGAATTGTAATACATCCATCCATCCATCCATCCATCCATCCATCCATCCATCCATCCATCCATCCATCCATCCATCCATCCATCCATCCATCCATCCATCCATCCATCCATCCATCCATCCATCCATCCATCCATCTAGATAGATAGATAGATAGATAGATAGATAGATAGATAGATAGATAGATAGATAGATAGATAGATAGATAGCCAATAGTGGCATTACTGATTCCTAAAAGTTCTTCATAAGAAAAGGAGCTAATTGTTTTCATGATGCATTCATTGTTGTCATAACTTCCTTATGGATCTCCAGGACATTGAAAGCAAGCAAGGATGTTTATAAAGAAAAAAAAATATCTCAGCATGGATTCATGAGAAAGTCAACTAATAATTTTCATAGTAAATGGAATTTTCTTACCAAATTGCAAGTGAAAATGAAAGACATTTATCAAGGAGGTAGATTAATATGTTACACATATTTCAAATGCAAAGTACATAGGAAACAGAGTTTTTATTTAATCTTTTAAAAAAAATTGCTTTCTTTCTTTTGTTCTCTTAAAGTTCACTTTTATGTTTATCCCAAATAACAGAATATGGGAATCAGAAGCATCAACATTGAATGCATAGAACAGAACAGGTTTATTGTTATTGGCCAAGTGTGATTGGACACAGAAGAAATTTGTGCATAAGCCTAAGAGACTATACTCCAGTGCATAGAGTATCCGTACTCTACGGAAAATATGAATAAGGAAGATTTTCCACTGAAGCCAAACAGTTCAAAAATAATGAATGCATCTTTTTAAAAACAAATGCTTCCATAAATTATATATATATGTTTCTTTTAAAACTTCATTTTTATATGTTTTCAATTTACAAATACAACCTAAAACTAATTAGTTGAAATCATGTTGCAGAATACATTCACAAAAATACACACATGATGTACTTGTTTGTAATGGCATCTGGCTGATATTTCAACATCATCTCTATAACAACAAAATCAGAGAAGTTGTTAACATACCAATCTTATTTGAGATTTTTCCCTCTGGGCATGGAACACAATCATAACAGCAGAATTTTTTCCATTCATCCTTCCTTTTCTGAAAACCGGGATGACAATATTCATTGCACAGAGAGATAGGAAGCACCTAGTTTTCAATTTAATAATGTTGGAAAATGAGGATTTATTGTTTTGAATAAAGATCAGTTGTTAGACCATAAATTAAATCTGTAGCATTGTTAACAATAAAAAGAAAAGTCCTATCCATAATATGTATAAAAGGGTCAAGATATAAATAGGATTTGAGAAAGCATTTCAAATCAAACTTAGGTATATTTTAAATCTGCAATTTGAATTTTTGAGCACACTTGACCTGGATTTCCCATTTTTTAATTGGATTCATACCAGAAATTGAATATGTGGTTTTGCATTAATTCAATTAATTTGTTTGATCAGATGGATTAAACCAATAAAATTTGTTTTAAATCACATCAAGGTTTCACTCAGCTGAAATATAGTCATTCAATCAAGGAAATATAGTCACCTAAATGTATTTATTTTCTTTCACATTTTAAGTTCATTATTTGGAGACCTCTAATAATGTGCACAATATTACAGTAGTTAAGTTAGTTTTCTACATTTAAAGTGGGGAAATGTCATTTTTTAATCTGGTTATTCCTCAGGATCTGCCTGGAAGGAAAATGGTAATTTTCCAAGCCAAAAGAATCCATATGAGAATGGTCATACAAACTCTCCTTGAAACAATACCTGGTTAAATGATCTATGCCAAACAATCATATCCTCATTAATGACTAATTCTTTTCCACTCAGAGCATCAGGATCCACTTTTCCAATCTTGTTTCTCTGGAAAGTGGAATTGGGAAAGGTGACTATATTGATGATATCAAATCCACCTTCCATGTTCTTTTGATCATAAAATGTCAAACTGTCTCCAAGAGAATTATTGAATTTCATGCCTTTAAGAAATCGGTGGAGCTATATTATTGGGAATAAAAAGAAAGAAAAAAAAATGAAGAAAAGAAGGATGTTGATGATTTTTGCCCTAATTGTAGTGTGCTTTTGAGGGAGAAATTCACAAAATGTAGGAAATATATTTCTCCAGCCTCTTGAGAAGCTGTTTGCTACCCAGTGCATTTGGGGGTAGATATACGTCTAATTGAGTCATAATCAAATGACAGATGAAATGAATTGTTAGCCTTCTACATCTTCTTGTTCCCAGCCAAATGTAGCCTAAAAAACAGTGTACAAAGAACTGAAGAAACAGTTTCCAGAAAACAGGTGGTACTCTGGTCTCCTCTTCAATTTCCAAGTCAACCTCATCCGAATAACTTGCTCCTCACTTCCCATCCATTTTTCAACTCATTTAATTCTCACAGATATAAGGCAGTTATGGATGTGGAAAGGACTGAAGGATAACAGACTCCACTAAATAAAATTCCTTTATTTTCTTCAATAATAGGCCAAATGCCTAAAAGTATTTGAGAGCCAAGACCTGCATTTTATTTGATTTCAGGCTTAATTTTTTCATCCAGAAGATGTAAAACTGAAATCATATTAAAGTATGGAATTTTTGTATGGTATGATACTGTATAAATTATGGTTCTGTATAAAGTACCATATGCAGTACTTGACTAGCATGAATGCTGTTACCTAGTTGGGGTAATGAAACGTCTGTAAGAAAACAGGCAAGCGCAGAGTGCACCAAGGACCCCTCATATATAGTACTGTATAAAGTATGGTACTATATAAACATTATATGATTTAATGATTTAATGATTTATTATATTTATACCCCGCCCTTCTCCCGGAGGACTCAGGGCGGCTTACAGCCAGTTTAAAAACAGTTTGATACAAATACAAAATACAAAATTTAAGAGAATAATTAAAAATAAATATTTAAATAGGCCGCTTCTACTAAAATTTAGTTAAAACCAATTTAAAATACCCCTAGGCCAGTCCTGCCCNTCCTCAAGGGGAGCCCCATGTAGAGAGCATTACAGTAGTCCAGGCGGGAGGTGACAAGAGCATGGGTGACTGTGCGCAAGGCATCCCGGTCCAGAAAAGGCCGCAACTGGTGCACCAGGCGTACCCGGTAAAACGCCCCCCTGGCCACAGCCGTCAACTGGTCTTCCAGTGTCAGCCGTGGATCCAGGAGGACCCCCAATATGTTATACTATATAAACATTAACTTTATCAAAGCAATAAATTTCATTTTAACAGTCACTTCTTCCCTGTTTCAATCATATAGACTTTGTATTTACTATTATCTAGTACAAAGTATTTGTATCACATAAATCACCTGCCATGGTTGTGCATCCTCATAGTCTAATAATTTAGGCCTCCACAAATGCCTGTGATTAGACTGAAATAAGAAGAGAGTATGTAAAGCTTGAGCCAATATATAGACAGCATTATAGATACTATAGCTGTGCCCAGTCAACTGCATCTCAAAAAGAGATCCAGGAATGTCCTCCAGTTTTTTCTCTTCTATACAAATGTCATTGTCCACTAGGGTTGAACGAGCAGATGGCAATGAACAATCAAACACTTGTTCCCAGAAAAGTGGAAAAAATCCATCTTCTTGAATCCAAGGAGGTTTTATCGACTTCAGGAACTCATTGAACTCTAAAATTTGTTTTGAGTGAATTGTAAAAAAAATGGCACCGTCAAAGAACTGTCGATCCCATTTTCTTTGCATTCCTGTTAATAAATAATCAATCTGGGCAGTCATGATCCACACCTTTCCCAGGAAACTCTGCTCAGGTCCAGGATTAATTGTGAATATAATAGTAGTCACCCATGCAATTGTCAAAGAGTCTCCACAGACAATAAATATATTGATCTTCTCATCAGCTATACTGTTATAAATATTTGCTGCTTTCTCAATCATTTCCTGAAATTTATCCCAGTGGGTTAAATATGGAATTCTTTGAACTGAAGCAGAGCAGATTCCATATTGGGAAAGGAAGGACTCCATGATCTGTAGGAAACGTTCTCCATTCCAATTATCAGTAGTAAAGATCCCAATCCAGGTCCAGCCAAAATGTTGAAGCAGTCGGATAATCCCAATGTACTGAGAAGATTCATTTGGAACAATGGAGTAAAATGAAGACATCCTGGCATTATAACTATCCAGAGGGGTAAATGATCCATAAGATAGCTAAAACAAAGAACATATTCTGTAGAAACATATTACTGGGAGCATATAGTAATTTTCCTATTCATGAAAGCAATCTTTTGTAAGGTTATTCAGCTAAGTAATTATCATTATTTTCTAGAAGGGAGAAAAAGAATGTCCTATGTTTATTCTTCAAGTGCTTACCTGTGGTATCTTATATAAACCTACAATATCTGCCATATAGGATGAGGTTTCAGAGCTGAGTCCCCCAATAACGGCTATGAGGTTTTTCATGATGTCACATTTGTAGTTGGGGACAAAGTGCTGGGATTTGAAGAGCATGTCCAGGGTGGTCCGATAGGTCACCATTGGGTGATAATAGTTGTCATGGATATGGAAGCCAAGAGTGACATTAGACAGGATTTGTGGATTCTTATTGATCTCCTTCACAGCAAAGGCCAAGGAAAGGACATGTTGGTAGAATTTTGTTAATACCCTGTAATTAAAATGATTTCACTCTTTTAGATGTTAACTTTAAAGAAGATTTTATATCCAAACAATTGTAATTGCTATAACTGAATTAAATATATCAATAACCTATCCTTCTATCCATATTTAAGATAGAGCTATTCCATGTCAATTGAGAACTCTGCCAGAATGAAATATTTTCTGTGATTGACATGGTTGCAGAATGAGTCAATGTATTGCCAGTTCTCACAAACTAAAATGTCCTCCCATTTAAAAAAAAAACAAAATTACTCTTCATTCTTTCCTCTCAAATTACAGTAAGGTCTTATAATGAGACCACAAGTTGCACTTTCTTATAGTCTTGATGTTATATAAGAGCCTATGATATTTCTCTCTTGTACTTGCCACTAACATAAACTAGGTTACATGATCTAATTTAGCACACTTGGCAAACAGAATTTACATTTATTAAAAGCTGTCTGGAATTCCAGAGATGTAGAAATACCCACAGAGAAAAAGAGTTCTCATTATTCAAGAAAACATTCCACTTTCCCCTATTTCCCTCCATGCATTAAACTTTCCTGACTGCTATAGAGCAGCAAGATAGAAAATCCATACTCTGGAAATTCAAAAAACTCTTGAGAAGGATCCTTCTGAAATGAAACTTCATTAAAATGGTAATGTATCATAGAAACCATCTCGCCGAGAATGATGTTTCCTTCTTGATACCACTCATACCGAGTAGGTATTGGATCCCCCACATGACATGCTAGACTATTCACTTTGACTATTGGGGTTACAAAAAGAAGAAGAAGAACAAACATCTGGACAGCAGAAAGTCTTCTGAAATATGGATGGGTCTATTTTTACTTTAAACACAATCCTGTGTTAGCAAATATTAGCCAGGCTAAATATATCACTTAAGAGCTTTGCTAGTACTCCTTATGTATAACGATAATATAGATCAATACATGTCCTTTATTCAGATTGCCAAAATCTAACTAACATTGTGTCAAAGGATGGCGTCCTGGTACTATGACAAATCACAGTTTGAAATAAAAAAAATGGTAGACTCTACCCTTTCCAATTCTTAATTCTTATTTGCCACTCTTTATGGGAGAAAACCTTTATATGTTTTTTTTTTCATTCTTACTAATAGATTGTATGTCTCTGCTTCAGATGTTTACATCTTAGACCAAGTGAACAAATTACAGTCACTAGAATGACTGCATGTCATCTATTATTAAAAGAAATGATATAATTGATAGTGAAGTAGTAAAGATTACATGTGATTTTATGATTGTTCAGGTACTGCAGCTTTCCACAGAAGCAGTTTTCTTTTTTTGGAAGTTCAGTCAGTGTCAACTTTGCAAACAGATTAATTATCTCTACTAATCTAACTTTTAAAGTTCTCAACTTAGAAGTACACAAAGTTATTTACAAATGTTATTTCTACAGTAAAATCCATGATTCAATAGAATTATTTCCCAGTATTTCCTATAGAGAGCAAAAGGTTTTTTTAATGTGGGATTTTAGGCTTTCTTATATGGATTTTATGATATAGACCTAGGAAAAGGATTTTCCACCTCTAAAGAAAAGAGTTCTTTCTTGAGAAGTCCATATATATATTATATTATATCAATCAATCAATCTCTAGGTTCTATTGCCTTTCTCTGAAGTTCAATCAATCAGAATAAAGCTGGAAGGAACCATGGAGGTCTTATAGTCCAACCCCCTGCTTAAGCAGGAGACCCTATACCATTTCAGACAAGTGGCTGTCCAGTCTCTTCTTTAAAATCTCCAGTGATTAATCACCCACAACCTTTGGAGGCAAATCATTCCACTGATTCTTTGTCCTCACTATTAGAAAGTTTCTCCTTAATTCCAGGTTGCTTCTCTCCTTGATTGGTTTCTGGATTGGAAAGATGATCTCCAAAGCTCCTGACGGGAAAAAAAATTAGCATTAATGAAAGTGCTATTGTGTGGAATCACACGTTTCAGCAGGTAGGACATACTCAAACTTGGTATACTATTATTTGCAGGGGAAGATATTCTTCTCCAATAACATGAATGTCCAGAAATTCCAGTGATGGTATCCTGGAGCCTTGTGGTTTTGCTAGATATTTGGGATGGTCTTTATGATGATATCTACATGGAACTGAGTTACATTTTGAAATTAATACAACATAAGAATATTTAGGTATGTGTCCTTGTGTTTTATTTAGTTTTCTTGATAGACTACCTTTTTATATATATAAAAAAAGACAGTATATGTGCATATGTGAGTAGAATAAATGTCAGGAGAAAATTGGTTTAAACTTATCATGAATCTTTGTCATAAATACACTCATGTATAAAATAAGAGCAGGTTGTTATTTCTTTATACAATTGGAAAATGTGTGTAAATACCAAGTAAATATGTGGACATTGGATAAATCCTTCTACAAATTGTTTCAAAGGATTTTTTTTCCTTTTTGGCAAAGATGAAAATCTTCTTCATGAATTTTTTTTGGTATGTTTTAAAATCTACAATATAGTTTCCTTTTTATTTTCCCGATGCAATACTTAATTTTAGATATTGCTGTTATGAGGGAATAAAAAGAGGATTCTTTCTGAAAACAGAGAAAGTTTATTATAGGTGGCTGTGCTCCTATGTAGCCAGTTTTAAAGAAATCTCTGTATACAAATAATATATATGTCTTTCTTGATTTTGGGTCCTGGCAGATATAAAGAAACACAAGGATATTCCAATCCTACACAATGAAAATTGATATTTCATACAGAAAATTTTGATGAATCCTACTCCTAAACCTTCTTGTTGTTTATTTTTATTTTTTTTTTGTTTTCAGGTACCTCCCCATGCAAGATGTGTAGAGAGCTGCCATAAGGGATACAGCAGGGTTGTTCAGGAGGGGAAACATACTTGTTGCTACAATTGTACACAATATCCTAAAGGAAGAATTTAAATCAAAATGGGTAAGTAAAGAGACAATTGAGAATTGAGAGCTTCCAAACTCATCTTTTCTTCATTCTTTCCATCTTTGGTGTGTTATTTGGTTGAATAGGATTGGGGTAAAGTGCAGTAGATTTTTTTTTAAGGTGGATGTAATTTAAATACTTGCATAAATCCATTCTAATCTGATATCCTTTGCTAGGTTGAGAGTTATAGTTTTTTTCAGAGTTCTACCCTACTAATATTGAAATTTGAAGGAATATATTTTCATAAATAATAATTCAGAATCTGTACTTAATATTTGTAAGAAAGCATTATTGTGTATATGTCATGGGAACTGTGAACAGCATCACCAGGAATGATTTCATTCATTTAGCACTATATATTTTTCTACATAGTTGGAAATGACCAGGCCTTCTTCATGTATTTCAGATGCAGACCAATGTGAGAGATGTCCAGAAGATCACATTTTATGAGTGAAATGTACTTTCTGTATGTGCTTCCACATTTGTTATTGTGAACCTTGTGCTAACAGGGTAATGTACTTTGGTTGAAAACTGAAAATGGCCAAGTTTTAATATTAATATTAATTAATATATCATATTAATATTTAATATTCAAAGAATATTCATTAATATTCATTAAGATGAATTGGAGTTCACAGCTGAACTTCTCCAATTATTAATCCACAAAGAGAAAAGAAATATGGACATACTAAAATTATTATTATTAATAATAATAAAAAAAAATTGGAAGAGACCTGGGAGGTCTTCTAGTCCAATCCCCTGCTCAGGCAGGAAACCTATACAATTTTAGACAAATTGCTGTCCAGTCTCTTCTTAAAAATTTCCAGTGTTGGAGCATTCACAACTTCTGGAGGCAAGTTGTTTGACTGAATAATTGTTCTAACTGGCAGGAAATTTCTCCTTAGTTCTAGATTGCTCCTTTTCTTAATTAATTTCCATCCATTGCTTCTTGTCCTGCCTTCAGGTGCTTTGGAGAATAGCTTGACTCCATCTTCATTGTGGCAACACTGCTATTATGTCACCCATAGTCCTTCTCTTCATTCGTTGTTCAAAATCAACAATCTTTTTTTTCTATAAATAAAAGACTAATAATGCTAGAGGAAATACTGAAGGCATGATTATTTCCCCACTGGAATTATTCCAATGATAATAATTTGTTTCCTTCATCAAAACTGTAAACACCTGAAGAAGACATTAGAGAAATGAACAAATATATGAAGAAAAGACTGTCCCATGCAGGCTGGACAGTAGAAGATAGACAGATGAAATCTGTCATTTCAACTACCCCAAGTGAAGTTCTATTGCTGAAACTTCACATTGCCATTCAGATCTTTTTGAGTATATTAGCACCATATGCATGCAGAATCAGAGCTATAGGTTAGGCTTCAAACTTGTTTTACTGTAAATATAAATTTTGAGGCTTGTGAAAGGCAGACTAACATGACAAGCTGCTGATGGAGAAACTTCTATATTGAAATGGCATTTGCTGCCCCAATGTTCTTTCTTCTCCTATTTCCACTCTTCAGAGTGAAGTCACTGCCATGTCATCCAGGTGAACCCATACCTGTTCCAAATGAATGGTACCAGGAAGGGGACCTTATCATTGGTGAGATGGTATCTATGGCTAACTACCAATTTAATCAAGTTTCATTTCAGCAGCATCCCTCTGAGGAGTTTTTTGAAAATCCAGAGTAAGCAATTCTTATCATTCACCTTTGTGTCATCTCTAGTTAGCGGTACTGCAATGAATGAAGAGAAAGGCAGATTATTTTTTTTTCATAATGAGAACACTTTGTATGTGGGGAAGTGTATTAAGGGATATTGATTCTATCATGCAAACAATAGAAATCACAAGAATTAGTTCAGTGCAGTAGAAATAGAAATAGGCATGGATTGGTCATTCCATATAAGGGGTAAAGCACCTCTCTAGGGTTCCAGGAAAATAATAAGGACATATTTAATGATACACGTAAATTTATCCTGTTTTCAGTGTGCTAACAAAATTTTACCAACATATCCTTTCCTTGGTCTTTGCTGTGAAGGAGATCAATGAGAATCCAAAAATCTTGTACAATGTCACTCTTGGCTTCTATATTCATGATAGCTACTACAATGCAATAATGACCTATCGGACCACCCTGGACCTGCTCTTCAGATCAGAGAGATTTGTCCCCAACTATAAATGTGACACCAAGAGAAATCTCATTTCTATCATAGGAGGGCTCAGCTTTGGAACTTCCTCCTATATCG